AAAAAGAATCAGCAGTGTTGGTGACATTGAGCACTGTCCGTTTGATATCCTTTAAGCATCTAGTTACATGTAAGGTTCAACTCATAATTTAACTCACTAACGAATTTTGATAATCGAAGTGCCAAGTAATTAGTCGAATCCCTCGATCCAGAGTAAATGCGCGAATTATTGCAAATAAGCCTTAAGCTAATTTACAAACTCCTCAGACTAAGGCCTTGGTGTGCAGGATGCTTAACCCCTGGTGAGTGAGACCTCAGGCACCTTACCCTCAGCTGTGCATCTGCAGTTGACTCAGTCGGTCTACCATTGAGATGCATGTGATTGATGTTCAAGTGTAATGCACATTCTCAGATGACAAAAACACACAAAATCACAACTGGAGATGCACGCGCAATGCCTTTAAGCCAGTTGCTGTTAAAAGCTGGTCAGTTAGGCGGCAAGTCTGTTGGCTTTACAAAACTAGCATCTATCAATGCCCTGCTTTAGTGCAGAAGTAAACCACTTTTACTGCCGCTTTACTGTGTCACTTCTGTAATCACACCTTGTCCCTTCTCCGGGGATTTGACTTTACTATTCCGACTCTGGAATCTTGTAATTGTGTAATTACGCGAAAAAAGAAGCAATGACTTTTTTTATGCGTAATCTTTCGCTCTTGTGCAAAAGTCATTTTGTAACTATGTCTTACAAGTATTATTTAATTAATGATTCCATCTACAACGAATTTGAGTTTGGCTATTTAAGGCGATACGGGTAAATTCTAAAATTCAAAAATTCTATAGTTGGCAAGGTTAGTTCCATGATAATTCCTGTTCGTATATTTAATCTCCAGTTGATCTCCAGACTAATCGTGACTTGCAGCTGACAACGTCCTTGGTCACTGGGGGGTCAATCAGGTCTGAGCTGCACCTTCAACATCGCTTTACTACGTTTCGTGGTGTTGGTTTGCACACCCACAGCACACTGAGGACTCCTTTCAATTCACGTGGATTGAAGCTAATTGGCTTGGTAGCAGCTGGTGGTATGCACGAAAGTGGGCTTTTCTTGTCTGCACCACCCTCTGCCAGCCAATTCGCAACGCGTTTCACTGACCTGACCTATAACAGGGTCAAAATGACCCAGCCAAGTCACTCTTGGTACGAAGTAGGCAAGATTAGTGATGGGGAGTGATGGTTTCTCGAAAGCAGTTAGATTTCATGACTTGGTGTAATTACACGCAAACTAGTTTCAGAAGGATATTTTTGACGTTCCCTAAAAGTATTTTTTATACTTTCATACCCATAATTGTAAACCGATTCTCCTTTAAACCATCGCTTTGTGGTTTTTTACCAACTCTTTTCGACCTAATATATGACCGGATTTGAACATTTGCACCCTCTGACATGAAATTTACGCCGTGTTTCAAATGAACTCTGAATTGGGCGTTCCCATGTTTTATAGTTATTTAAAGCTTTGATTAATTTTCAAGGTTCTTGGGCCTCCATATCTGTAATACGTAGTATTGTTTATGTGCGTTTGAATAGATTACATGTACTTTTCTTTCACCAGAACTCGTGCGTAATTAGCGATGAACTGAACCACACGAGCCTCATCCTCGGCTGTCGACTTTCTGGTGCAACGGTCCTTCGCTTCAAACACAACGACATGCAGGACTTGGAACGCATTCTTGCTGATGCCGTGGTCTATGGACGCCCACGCAGTCGGCGTCCGTTCTCGCGAATTTTCATCGTAATCGAGGGCATTTACAGGTACTTGAATGGCTACTTGTCGTGGTGACTTGAGAGTTCTGTGCTCAAATTCCACCAAGATTTGTGCCACCAGTGGTGCAGGCACACAAATAATTGCTAAGCAAATGTGGTTCTCCACAAGAGGATTACCGACTTAATGTGCTCAATACTGTACCGCTCGGCCGTGGTTTTTATTGGCTCAGAATGTAAAGCAAGGAGTTGATCTCATATGGCGCACCATGGACGTAAATTCATACAGGAACAAGAAGGTTAAATTTATGGAAATAAAAATGATTACCTGACATATCGACCTCCAAGGCTTTGATTGGCAAAACATATGTAAGCTGTCAGACGGAACAAACAAATGCGCTCAAACTAATTATTAAGCCTTTCGAATTCCCTAAAAATGGAGATTAAGTACGTTGCTTAGCCTGACTTCAACGGCTTGAGTGATAACTTCGAGAAGTTTCAAGACCTTTTAAATGCCCTACTTGAATCCTTTTGGCCGTTAAATCTAATGCATTTTTCAACGAATCTCGCATAAAACTGATGCTATTTTGCAAGATATTGTAAAAAGTGTGCGGGAATTAGGTTTATGTTTAGTAAAAATATGCTAGTGTTTATGTTTATGGTGCGTAAAGGAATTTTTCTGAAGTAGTCTATTTGGCTTTTGTCATCGCCTCAGACTACTTGATTATGTTTGGTGAAAAATTGCTCGATTCAAGAAGGTTGGCGCGAAATTTTCATAGCCAATAAAAGTCTTGTCTGTGAAGTCTTCCAGGGCTATGTGTCGAAGATACATGGCTTCAGAAGACTGCACTCTATCAATACGTGGACTGCTGTAAAACCCAACAAATTTTGTCCACAGCTGTTTCAAATGCATGCAGCAAGACTTTTGGCATTTCCTTAATACATAGTCGGCGCCCAAATAACCCACGGCTGTGCCCTTTATACTCTTGTTGGTTGCGATTTTCACCCATGATCAAACCATCAAATTAACATGCAGTAAAGTTCCGCAGTGTGCTGGTCGTGGTGTGCAGTATTGTATTACCGAATGCAACGCCGGCGCCTCGGGAGGTAAATTTTGTGATATCTCTTGAAGGCTTTTGGTAAATTTTGAATCTCCCTATGAGTTTCCACTTAAAATTTGAATTACTGTAGGATTGTTTTAGATTGATATAAGGATGAAATCTTTTATGATATGATGATCACGAAGAGGTACTTTTATGGCGCGAAAGTAGCAAAATTCAGATTTCCCGAAAAATGTCAATTTTTGCACCATTGTGCCATGCATTTTTGTGTCGACAGTGTGCCGGCCCGTAAATTTGGCGAGTCATTGTCACTTTTAAGCTTTGTTAAGAAAGTAACTTCGGTTTTTTTATCATGAAACAAACTTAATTTCCATACACAATGAATGATTTTACTAAATTTTGCTTTGTTTTGTTCTCGTTTTGTTTCACAACCTCTTTGCCATCGTTACGGCAACTTTATGGATCCGCACTCATGGCGAGTTTACCGCTTTCACCCAGAACTGAACTGAACGCAATTTCAAGTTGTCCTTAGTTAAATTTGTACCGTCCCACGAAATAGGTGGCAATCGGGCGATGCAAAGTCAGGGCTGAATGAGAGTTGTGACATTACTGATCAATCAGGCGCCAATAACTCGGCCTCAGTTACCAAAGACAAGCGATGCCTTGCATTGTTTTCGTGGAACACCATTCCTTCGCGACTGGTTAATCCCTGCACATTTATTTTGATTCCAAATCCAATTTTAATAGGTCATGACAGTCTGTTTGTGCTGCCTCCTCATGTTGTCGTCACAGCCTTAAACGGTCCAAGTAGCATAACCAGTGGTGGCTCGTTTTGTTCGAGTTGCCTTTCGCAAATACTCTTGGGTCGATTAAAATTTTTCCCGTTCATGTAAAACCCATATGTAGAGCCTATTAAGGGTTTCCAAACATATTGAGTGAGTTTGAACTGTTTCCTACGAGAGGCAGTAAGTAGCCACTTCGCAATCTGTGGCACCATTAAACGATGACCCGATCTACTTATAGCTAGCATGTAGCTATCATCAACCGCTGTGTTGGTCATCGACGGTAAAAAATGCCCAAAACAGAATTATTCGACCTGATTCTGACACGTACGTTCTGTTAAGCAGTCAACGTCAGAAATGTCACGTGTGTCTGTGAGTTTTGGCAATTCTCTTGCCTGTGTCGAAAGCGTTAGTTCCTTGCACTGCATGTCAAAAGTGGCCTTCGTTAACACATGTAAGCACATTTGTGCCGATTTTACAGCTG